AATCGCTTAAATAAATTAAATCATTGACTCCCTTTAATATCATCTCAATATCATATCAATATCCCTTCAGTATCATAATAATATATATTTTAACTGGCAGTACTATATTAATATTTTATGAAATCCATATATATGCTAGGAGCACCTATGCTAAGAGAATAAATATAAGAACCAGTTCAGCAAGTTCTGCTATCACATGAATGTACATTATTTTAATACAAATTATATTACTAGCTTTTCAAATTAATTTAATATATTTTACCTGTTCACTTTCTGTTCATATAGAAAAAAATTTTGTACTGTTGTTCACAATACATAAAATCAACAGATTGAATATTTGAATGATAGTATTACTAACTACTTGTCTTCTATTTTCAGAAAGTGTGATTTATTTATGGAAACTACAGGAAGGTCAAGTGGGGTCATCATTTATGGACAAAGAAGAAGAAATAGAAAACAAAGAAAATTGGACTGTGCATAAAATGTTGCGGTAATTTACTCTTTGAGTTTCCGCCTCCTATCTTTGTAATTTTGAAAATTGCTTTTTTCCCTTAGTTATATTTCAGCAATTAAACGTATAAAATATCTTTAAATTTAATAGGGGACATTTGGAAGATGTGTATGATCTTTGTTGGTCCAAAGATTGTAACCAGCTGATATCGGGTTCTGTTGACAACAGTGCAATAGTGTGGGATGTGGTCAAAGGTAAGGTTCCAAAGGAAGTTTGTTTAAAATGATGCATTCTGGGTAAATTTAGATTGGCAGAATTTCTTATTATAATACTTTGAAAAAACGAAGTCAGGGTGCGTAAGTTGGTTTTGGCCTGGAGTCTAAATATTGTCAATGCATTCCAATGAGACATAATGATCATTTTTTTATTTTAACCAACTTAAAAATGGCACTTATTAGGTGCCATGAGGGGTGCATCACCCCCCACTCCCCCAGCTTTTGCCCATAAAATTTTGTTTGCTTTATTTTTGTTTGTCTGGTTTATATTTAATGCGGAGAAAAACATGTTATGAAATATGAACTTATGAGAACTGAATTTCTCTATACAGTAATTGCATTTTTAATATATAGAAAAATTTTGATAATATTTTATTCTGTAAAAAAATATGTTAATTGATCAATTTTTCCATATAGGTGAAAAATTGCATTTATTAAAAGACCACAAGAATTACGTTCAGGGTGTTGCCTTTGATCCCCAAAACCAGTTTGTTGCTACATTTAGTTGCGATAGGTAAGTTTAATCCATTTGTTTGAGGGTGGTGAATTTATCTGGGATGTATGAGTGTATTCGTAATAGGTATATCGATGTATGGTAGACTGAAAATGGAAAAAAGAGAGTAGAAGTGTATGGAGCAGCGTGTACAGTAAGGCTTTGAGCTTTTAATTTGAAAGTTATGATTTCGAGTCCGCTGCTTGTCACAGTGCTTGTGTTCTTGGGCAAGACACTTTCTGTATTGCCTCTCTTCACCCAGGAGTACTAATGGGTACCTGGTAGGAAGCTTATCTCTTCAATCTTTGTTAACTTCTTCATGGTTAATAATTCTCATTTATTAGTTCATCTCTGTAGTTAAATTTCTGTAGTTTAAGTTGTTCCGTAGTTAAGTCTTTTTTCCCCTGAAAAGTCGCACTTCCTTACTTGAGGTAGCCCCGCCAAGTTAGCAGTGCATGAGAGTCATAGGCTTATCCTTGGTGGAAGCTACCAGAGCCCAGCAAACTAACGCCGAGGTGCCTGCGTGTACACGGTAGTGATGGCGACACTACAGTATCTCAAAATCGGGGGTGCACACTCCCCCCC